GTTTTCAAGAAGATTTAATCTCTGAAGATGTATGATTACACAAGAATCTCAGCTTCAATAAAGTTAAAATGAAGTCTGCCCTTCAGCTACAGAACTGCATTTCATCTGTAGTCATAAGTTATTTTAAGTCCTACAGAGGTAAAACTCGGGGCTGAATTGAAAAGAAACCCAAAATCTAACCTTGTAATTTTTGTAAACGTCATGATTTTGAAGGTCCAAAATAATATTTTTAACTACGAGGTTACTATTCTCTGCTGAGGGGGGAGAAGTCTAAGAGATCTTAGTGGTCTTGAGACTAAGGCTTGAGAGTGGCTAATGGGAAAAGTGGGCTTTACTCTTGGCAACTCTCTGCCTGGAACACTGCAGGATTTAGACACACTGCATTGGGAGGCAGTCACTTTTTTTGTGCTGTGGTTTTTTTTCTGCTTGTCTCCATTGCCATATGGATGATTTCAGTTCAGCAGCAACATACACTGTGATATGATTCTGACAGCTGGGATAATGGAAAAAGTCAATGTTTACTTATTGGTGGAAGAAAATTTTACCTTGCCTGCCAACTGGGGCAATAAAATAAATTTGTTTTGTATGCTGTGTGGAATTTTTTACTGCCACTAAATGAAAGCAAAACAATCGGGATCTCTCCCGGGGAGTTTGCAGAGAGAATGGGTACAGATCCAGCAAAAGTCACAGATGGAGAGAACTGAGAGAGAGAACTCGCCCTCAGCTTTTCTCCCACTTCCCCTCCTCAGCATCCGTCACATTTCTGGTTTTAGAGCAAAACGGGATTGTTCTTACCACTCACCAACACAATCCCTCCAGAACTGTTAAGTAACAGCTCATTTGGTGCAGGCTGCTGCCCATCTAGATTATGTAAGCAAAATGCAGAAATATCTATGAGGTACAGTAGTTGGGGTTTCAGACACCAGTTCGGGCCTTAACACTTTGTTCTGAATCTACAGCTGGTGACCAGAAACCAGTCCAGGTGCAGTGAGCAGAAACCAGTGCAGGTGCAGTGAGCAGAAACCAGTTCAGGTGCAGTGAGCAGAAACCAGTGCAGGTGCAGTGAGCAGAAACCAGTGCAGGTGCAGCATGGTGGGACTGCAAGTGTAACTCTCTCTGCTGAGAGAAACAAACCTCAACAGTTTCCCCCAAGTCAAAACGAAACACCACTTGCAGACCCAAGAGAAAGCTTTGGCCTCCCGTCGATCTCCACTTACCTCTTGTGTGTCTCCAGAAGAACTGCAGTGACATTTCAGTCAGAGTGAGCGTCGTGTTGTCCCGCTGACACCAGCCTGGGCACTGCTCTTACACTCTGCCTGGCTGCAGAGAGCCGGGACTGCCTGGAAAAAAAATTATCACTGTAACTAAAATCATAGAATAGTTTGGGTTGGAAGGAGCACTGCCTGGAAAAAAAATTATCACTGTAATTAAAAACATAGAATAGTTTGGGTTGGAAGAGACCTGTAAAACCATCTAGTTCCAACCCCCTGCCACGGGCAGGGACACCTGGCAGTGTAAGATGGGGAACCCATATTCTACAGCAGCTTAGAGGAAAGGCATGCAGTGAGTGAGTGTAAGATGGGGATCCCATGTTCTACTGCAGCTTAGAGGAAAGGCATGCAGTGAGTGATAAGAGCTCATGGAAGAAATGTGCCACTGGAACAAAACCAGGATTTGTATTTAATATATTTATACTTTGGACCCTCCTCTGGCTGCCAGCACAGCAAAGCCAAGGGTGCAGTTCCACTTGAGGGACATATTGACAACTTCACACCTTCTCTGTGGGGTGCAGAGGGTGTGCTGAAGGGGCAGGAGTGGGGAAAGGAGAGGGCACAATACCACCACCATCCTCTCCTTTACTGCTGGCATAACTCACCGCAGTTCTGAGGGTCTCCCCATCAACTCCCCAAACTGCTTTGACAGAAACTGACCCAAAAGCACAGCAGAAGGAAACTCTTTCTCTCCCCTTTCTCCTTAACTGCACCAAGCACAGCACGGATTGAGCTCGGGGGAAATGCAAGACATTGGCAGATCTGCAGAGGTTTATATCGTATCACATACATTTGAAGAAGCAGAAAAAAAAAGGCTTATAAATAGAAACCCTGAAATATGGATTAATAGTTCTCCATTGCCAAAGCATCAGCAAAATATTAATGGTGGGACTGCAGACACTTAACAGGGAAAGTGGTGTCTTTTAAGGATTAGTCTGCTGAGTCTTTACTTTTCAACCCACTGTACTCATGAATAATTTAGTGGCAAGCACAGGGCATACATTCCAGACTGGCGAAATTGTAGACAACAGTAAAAACAAACAAGGGAAAACATGGGAGAGAACAGAACGGTGAAAGAAGCAGAGGTAGAAAAGATATAAAAGATGCGGTCTCAATTATAACAGAGAGGTATAAACTAACGGGCGTGAAGGAAGCCATCGTTGGACTAGATGGGCTGTGTTCCTGCCAAAAACAGAAACAAAAAAACCAGATATGTGACCAATACCCATTCTGACTGAAATACGAGCTGGCAATAAGGACTGCTAATAGTGTGGAAAGATGTGACCAATACCCATTCTGACTGGAATAAGAGCTGGCAATAAGGACTGCTAATAGTGTGGGTAACATTTTAGAAGGTATAATCTTACTAGAACTTAAGCAGATCATTTCTGATCCCCTTAACTCCAGTCTATTCAACTAGATACCTTTGTGCTCCTGATTTCTTCAGTCCAGCCAGGTGCAATCCACTGAATTCCTTGGTTGCTAGCTTGCCTTCCCCTTAACTGCTGTGCTTGCTCCATAACTCATGTTGTCTAAAATAAAATCTCCCCTTCACTCGGGCACCCTCTCAGCTGATCTGCAGGTTCAGTGAACAGTCATAAACCCATCCAACAGAGCCATGGACCCTTCTTTACTGAGTACAATCTTCTGATGTGCTGCTTCTCTTACGAAGGTGCGTGCACTGAGAGCCACTTGACTTGAAGGCTTTAGATCCCCCAGGAGTCCAGGGCCTGCTTCCCTTTTTTAGGTCAGATTCTAACCGAACCCGACGGGAAATTGGCCTCAGCAGCTTCCCCAGGATCAAGCTCTGGTTCAGCAAAGGATTAAGGCTATTGTCAGGGAACACACGCTGCCAGACACTGACCCTCCCTCGTCTCTGGTCTCTGTTCTTTGACTCAGTCTCACACAGGTCTCTTCAAATAGCAGCACAGGCAATGCTTGTCCTTGGATGCAATCACCTCACTTTTGTTAAAACCAGCGTTAATTACAGGTGGGCTCCTCCAGACCTTTAGAAAAACTCAGTGCTTTAACCAAGTGCATTTGTTTCAGTATTCCTGATCACACTTAGAATTCAGTGTTGATTTTTTTCATCTTTCGTGTTCTGCCTGTGATTTCTGGACGTTAAAATACCAAGGGCAGTATCCCAATAACTAGTCTAAATCTCCCCTCTTCCAGTTTGAAGCCATTACCCTTCCTCCCATTGCTACACGCCCTTGGAGGAGGCCTCTCCCTGGCTTTCCTGGAGCCCCTTTAGGGACTGGAAGGGGCTCTAAGGTCTCCCCGGAGCCTTCTCTTCTCCAGGCTGAGCCCCCCCAACTCTCTCAGCCCCCCCTCCCAGCAGAGGGGCTGTGATCATGGTGGCGAGCACCTCTGTGGCCCAGCTCCAACAGAGCTCCCTGCCCTTCCTGTGCTGAGGGGCTCCCACCACTTCCAGGCCTTTGCCCTCTGAGAGGGGGATCTACCTGGGCGGGGGGGGGGAAGGGGAATCAATCATAGAATCATCCAGGCCAGAAGGGACCTCCAAAAGTCATCCAGTCCGACCCCCCCACAGTCAGCAGGGACACTCCCTGGGCAACCTGTTCCAGTGCTCCACCACCCTCACAGGAAAGAACTTTCTTCTCATCTCCAATCTAAATCTGTTCCCCTCCAGCTTAAAGCCATTGCCCCTCATCCTGTCACTACAGGCCTTTGGAAACAGGCTCTCCCCAGCCTTCCTGTAGCTCCCCTCAGAGACTGGAAGGCTGCTATTAGGTCTCCCTTGAGGGACTGGAAAGGGCTCTGAGGTCTCCCTGGAGCCTCCTCTTCTCCAGGCTGAACAACCCCAGCTCCCTCCGCCCGCTCCTCAGAGCAGAGGTGCTCCAACCCCCTGATCATTTTAGGGTCCTCCCCGTTAACCGGGGCTCTGCAGGCCCCGCCGCCATGTCGGCACCCCCCTCAGGGACGGGACAGGGCGTGGTGACGTCACGCAGCGGCGCCTCACGCACGCACGCACGCACGCACCCCTCCCCGCGGCGTTACAATGCCGCGTTTGATCATGGTGGCGAGCACCTCTGTGGCCCAGCTCCAACAGAGCTCCCTGCCCTTCCTGTGCTGAGGGGCTCCCACCACTTCCAGGCCTTTGCCCTCTGAGAGGGGGATCTACCTGGGCGGGGGGGGGGGAGGGGAATCAATCATAGAATCATCCAGGCCAGAAGGGACCTCCAAAAGTCATCCAGTCCGACCCCCCCACAGTCAGCAGGGACACTCCCTGGGCAACCTGTTCCAGTGCTCCACCACCCTCACAGGAAAGAACTTTCTTCTCATCTCCAATCTAAATCTGTTCCCCTCCAGCTTAAAGCCATTGCCCCTCATCCTGTCACTACAGGCCTTTGGAAACAGGCTCTCCCCAGCCTTCCTGTAGCTCCCCTCAGAGACTGGAAGGCTGCTATTAGGTCTCCCTTGAGGGACTGGAAGGGGCTCTGAGGTCTCCCTGGAGCCTCCTCTTCTCCAGGCTGAACAACCCCAGCTCCCTCCGCCCGCTCCTCAGAGCAGAGGTGCTCCAACCCCCTGATCATTTTAGGGTCCTCCCCGTTAACCGGGGCTCTGCAGGCCCCGCCGCCATGTCGGCACCCCCCTCAGGGACGGGACAGGGCGTGGTGACGTCACGCAGCGGCGCCTCACGCACGCACGCACGCACGCACCCCTCCCCGCGGCGTTACAATGCCGCGTTCCACACACCCCCCCCCTCCTCCTCACGCACGCACGTACGTCCCGTGACGTCGGCACGTCACGCTGTCCCGGCGGCCGGGCCGGAGGAGGAGGAGAAGGAGGCGGCGGGCGGAGCGGGAGCGGTGTGAGGCGACCGGGCCGGCGGGTGAGTGCCGGGGTAGGGAGGAGGAGGTGGAAAAGGTGGTGGAGGAGGTGAAGGAGGAAGAGGTGGAGGCCG